AATTTCCATCGAAGTTTACAAGAAAGAGATGTGAACAGCATGTGTGGGTTTGTAAACTTCTTTTCAGATAGAGTACCACACTTGACTGACTATCTTAAACCCTTTGGACACTTAAGATGTCATAAAGGCAAACTAGGAGACTTGTGGACTAAAGAGTGTGATGACGCATTTAAAGCGCTCAAGAACGCAGTCCAACAAGCCCATGTTGTACAAGGACCAGTCGAAGGCGTGCCTTTTGAAATAGCAACGGACGCATCAGACTTAGCACTCGGAGGTGTACTATACCAGGTTATAGATACTAAACTTAGGTATATACAATTCTTTAGCCGAGCAATGAATGCATCACCGTTGAATTATCTATCTGTGAAGCAAGAGCAACTAGCCATAGTAGCAACTTTAACACACTTCCGCGATTACTTATACAGAACAGCTTTTACGCTGATGTGTGATCAGAAGTCCCTTCAATATATGAAGGAAAAGAAGCCAGACTCTCAATTACTGAGCCGATGGCATGATACAATATCAAGTTTCATTTTGATATCTAACATCTACCAGGGATACAGGACATAACCCACGCGTTCAATTACTCTAAAGCGTTAAAAACCTTTTAAGAATCTTAAGTTCCTCGTACTATTAAGAGTACGTTTATAGTTTACGTACTGCTTAAGAGTACGTTTATAACATAGAGTCTAATGTGGAAGCCCGGCTATTACATCGATGGCGGCGAGCCAAGAGTCACGTAAAAGCAATTTAAAGCAGCTGCGATTTATTTGAGCCCATTAGGATCATGCATGCTAGGAGCTTCGAAAAAGAATATGTTTGGGTATGTAAACGGTTCTGCCGTGCGTACTGTAGACCAAACCAGAAAAGGATAGTATTACAGGAAGGCAATAGTGTAAGATTCGGTCTATCAAGGCGATATTTACGCTTTAGAGTAATTTAACGCGTGGGTTAAGTCTAAGTATAGTAAAATACGAAGTAATTAAACGAAACGAGTCTTTTGGTAAAGTTAAGTATGCCTCGTGAAAACAGCAATACTCTGAGGGATTGTGAGGCTGAGACATTGCCTATGTATAATCCTCTCAATACTGTTTTCGCCGAAGGGATTTTATTTACTTAGTGTTTTGTTGTCGCTCTATTAGAAACTATTGTAGAAATACGGCCTCCGGCCAGTCTAAAATATCAAGATCAATTGAGATAATACATTGGTTTTTTTTTGTATTTTAAATAATTTAATACAAGCTCTTTTTCCAATATTTTCAAAGTGTTCTAAATTAATCCTGAGTATTTGGTATGACTCATCTACTTGGACCTATTTGAGACATTAGTAGATGTAGGATATTATAAACC